ACGCAAAATAATAAGCGGCGCGTGTGCTGTTACACATCCATTTCCTACCAATTCCGGGGATATATGTATAATCCATCGTTATCGCAGCTCCTGCGCTTAGTAGATTAAGTAATGGACTAATGGAATGATGTAATAAAATAATGGAACGATTTTCATTCCGCTCGCTGAACGCCGACGCGTTACAGCGGAAAATGTGTGTCGCGCAATTTTCTATTATTAAACCATCTCAACTCGTTTGATCCTCTTTCCTAATTCGTTTCAACTTTTGCCTTTCCAAGTTTCCACATTTCCACGCTGCAGTATTCTTCTTAATTTTTTCCCTCTATGATGGAGTAGATGTCACTGAATTATTTATTACCCTAATTTCATTTTTTGCTCATATACAGGGTATTAAAAAAGAGTTGCATATATATTTACCATAATAAAAAATATTAATTTAGCTAATTTAAATTTAATTTTAAATAAATATTTATTTTACTAATTTAAATATTAATTTGGTAAAAACACATTAATTTATTTAGTAAAATTAATCGAACATATTTGATATCTTATTTTGGTAAATAGTAATCAGTGTGGTAAATATTATTAAATATTAATGATATTTTATATCTTATTGTAGCAAATATTAATCATAACTTAATTATAAAATTATAATTATCAGGGTAATCCATGATTTTCAGGGTAAATAAGAAAAAAATTCTCTCTGTGTACGATTGCGTTTCGAAATGAGCGTGGTAGAAATTTTTCCCGTCTCTCCATCTGTTTCGTAGTATCCTCGATACACGCATCAAGGTATATCGAGAGTATCCCCATTACGTATCCAAAGTCGGAAGTTGCTCTCGCGACGCGTGCTGAACGTTCGTGCGGTTTCCGCGGCCGTCGCGGCATTTACGCTCCGTTTAAGCCGCGCCCGCGATAACCACCCCCGTTGTAATTTGCGGAATCATCTCTTACACCGCCACTTCGCGCGACCCTCTGAACGCGGTGAAACAGAAATTGCCAAGAGCGAAGCATTACACCGCTTTCAAGAATTAATGGCTTAACTCCGATAAACGAGTGCAGCAAAGTATTTGATTTCGTGGAGATGCATATATTCCGTACCTTTCTTCCGAGCGTTATTTTGTAAACATCGAATCGTATATGTGTTCTGTAATGTTGTCAGATATCGCAGTAAACAAAAATAGTCGAAATTGTTAGACGAGAAATTGGAGCACGCAGGGTCGTTTACATATAAAACGATGAACAACATTTCTGTTTGACGCTGGCTAGCGCTTTCGACGTACACAACTCCGCCGACACGTAAATTACAAAAGAAACCTTTTACACTTATCACGAGAAAGTAGAGTTATTGTTGAAGCAATTGCGCGTAAACGTAGAATTAGAAAGAAGCGCGAATGGTAAAAAGGGGAAACTTTTCTTTGGATGCGTCAGCGGTTTTCAAACAACTTCGACTACCTGTTCCCGATCCGCAGCGATCGGAAAAACCTACATCGATCAGTGAAAATCGCTCCCGGGGAATCGCGAAAGCTGTTTGTCTTATATCTTCGTACTAGTACCAAGCTCGTTTGTAACCAAATAGAAATAGTCGCGGGTTTCGTTCGATTGGCAAAAAAGTAACAACGACATCGTTTTATTCGCCATTCGAAACAACATAATGTTACATGCATTCAAAGTTAACCTTGATTCAACCTCATTAAAAAATGAAGAAAATCTATCTCGACTCTAAATACTTTATACAGTCGAACTTATTTCTTCCGAAAGGATTTGTACCAAATGTATTTTGATAGTTAGTTCTATAATTATTATTCATGGATATAAGAAGAACTGGAGGGAACACATATGTGAGCGTCATAGGTGAGGGAAATCACTTATCGCCATCTTGAATATAGGAACATTCATTAATGGTTATTACTGGAAAAGTAGGTTATTACTGGTTATTATTGGTTATTGCTGGGAATCGATAATGAATTCAAAGATAAAATGAGAATTGGTATTGGTTATGTGTTCCTAATCAAAATGGCCGTGATTGAATCCCTTCTTTATGCCTTAGGAAGTAGAGTTCATAATTATATTCCCATCATATTTTCTTATTTTCATGTATATAGACTCGACAATATAATCTATAAAAAATTTTATATATAAAAATTACAGTATAACCTATAAGAAAATTTATATATAAAAATTACAGTATATAACCTATAAGAAAATTTATATATAAAAATTACAGTATAACCTATAACCTAGTGAGAAATCACTAGTGAAAAAGACGTTGAATCAATGTCTTTTACATCAAATTTAGTAAGAAAATACATATCTATGACCCGTATTCATAATCCGATCTTATATTTAAGATCGTCTCAAGTCCGAGCTCAAGACGCCACGCAGTCATTTGATTGATTGAACGGGATCTTAAGTCAACCTCCGACCAGACTTAAGGGCCGGTATTCACAGTTGGTTCTTATATTTAAGATCGTCTTAAGACTTCGTTCAACCAATCAAATGGCCGCATAGCATCTCTTAATTGGTTAAACGAGATCTTAAGACGATCTTAAATATAAGAACCAACTGTAAATACCGGCCAAGACGATTTTAAATATAAGATCGGACTGTGAATACGGGACTATCTAATTATAAGAACAAGAAGTATGAAAAAAATGTGAAAAATATCCATACAATTGTTATAATCCTTGGCCATTTAATTTCAATATTTTTTGCAATTGCGTATTCTTCTTTATTACTTGTTCAATATTGTTAGAGACGCGTGATATACTCTCGAAACAATTCGTATACACAACTCGTCTGCGGTTCTTGCTCAATCGTGAGGCATCCGGGCGTGACTTCATATTGCGTTACACTCAGGGTGAAATCTTCCCTCTCTAGCCGCGGATATTTGCCATCCAATAACATCTCTGGTATTCCCCGACGCCATCTGTTTTTTTTTTTTCCGAAATAACAAACGTGCCAGTTTTCTCCACCTCTCGTGTCGAGAAAGGATCTCCTTTTTCACTACTAATTACGCCGCCATTCGACTCCTCTCTATGGGACCCATGTTTTCGTTTGTAATTTTTCGCAATTAGAGCACGAAATTGACACCCCGACATTTTTCCACAAAATGTTTTCGCAATTATATAGAATACTAAAAGAACGATGAAAAAAAGATATATTGGAAGATATTGTAAAGATGAAACAAATATTTTTGTAATCATTTTTTATTCTATTGAAAAATCTAATCTAATTTGCTCTTGAAGATAACGATTCATATAACGGGGATCCAGAACTCTCTTAATAATATTGAATTTGTGGACGCAGATGAGTGTAAATGAACGGCTCATAACCATTGGCTCATCCGAGGATAGGAGAGAATCACTCGGGCATCGATGGCGTACGTTCAATTTGAGATCGTCGAAGTGACGAAAGCCGAGATCCAAAATTATGCGATCGACTCGTCGCTCGCGGCTGCTTGTCGATACGCGTTTCAGCTTCGGCTTCCACGCGCGCGCGTCGAGACGTGCGATTTGCAGGTTAAATTAATCATCGCGGATGATCGATGCGAACGGAACGGGCGAAGAGACGAGCTACTTCGTGGTACATTGAAGCGCCGTTCGTATCAATTCTCGCCGATTACTCCAACGTGGCAGAGAGCCTGGCGTAGAATTTCCGAGGAAATTCGAGGGATATTATTACCGACACGAGCCGGAGGGAAACCAAAGCTCGACACTAAGTAGAATGACGATACGAAGGTTGACTATAGGTAGTTGACTATGGAAACTGTACTCTTGTGAAAAAATACTCAACGTGTTATGTCAAAAAGCGTCAAAAATCACATCAAAAAAATTTCTCAAAATTATTATTGTTAATTAAAGGATACTATTCAAATGATGGTTAATTTATCGTTAACCTTCGATTGAGTCTTAACTTTAAAAATTACAATAATCCTAAAACTAAGAGCCTTTAAATAAAAGTGAATTTAATTTGCCCGACAAGAGTCAATCTTCAATTTACTCATTAAGAGATAATCCTTATTTATACTTACAATCAGTGTTTAGTTCAGTAAAATTAGACTTGAAAAAGGCAAAACTTCATAAAAATTAGGAACAAGCTGAATATTTGTGGAGACCTTCATTTCGACGTTCTAATAAAATCCTGAAAAGTACCCTTAATTCCAGCTAGGGCGTTTTTTTTATAAGGAGTAAAAGGGGGTAAATTTTAGTTTTTTGCCATTATCTCGAAAACTAACAATTTTCCGAGAAAAATAGTTATTATCAAAATTATAGCTCATAAAATTCTCTACAAAAAAGGTCATTATACTTTTTTTCGTACAACTAATCGTTTTTAGTAAAACGTGTAGTAAAATTGCAATGTCTAATATAATTTTTTTGCATTTCTTACAAGAGGTAAGGTCAACCCTTAATGATGATTAAATCAAATTTCATCAAAGTTGAGCGTATTTCTTCATAAATATGTATCTTGAGTATTAAAATGTTTAAAGGCGAAAAGGACACGTGTGCGTTATTTAAGTTTTTGCCAACTTTCGGTATGTGCCGTGAGATATATATTTAAACGCGTGAGACCCGTAGTTTAATTATATTCGTACAAGTACGGATTTAGTCCCTCGTATTCCGAGAGTCCGGACCTAGAAAATAATCTGCTTCCACCGTCGCGTATGGAAATTTCGCGAAAAGCTGTCGTGAACGAAATTTCGTTGCGAGAGTGAAATCTTCGTGCTTGCGGCTCAAGAGGGAGAGAGAGAGAGAGCTTTGTGCTTTTGCGAATTTAACCGCGAAATAAAGATCTTGCCCCCAAGAGAAACGTGGCTCTCCCAGCGAGTCATAACGTTCTTGATTAATATTGCAATCTCTGGCATCGCATGCAAAAAGAAGTTAATTACAAATGACTCGAGTCTAACAATAGATAGAATTAGACATCTTACAACTAGATTTGACTTTTATTTGCATAGTTTTGAATTTTTCATGATTATTTAGAGAAAAAACAGTACCTACTTTTAAGTAGAAACTTGGACGAGATAGGTTCGAATTCTCTGAAAAAAAAAGAAGTATTTCCAAATATATTCAAACTTAGATCAAGATAGCAAGTATTATAATAAATAGATCTTACGATTAGAGTATTACTTGTAAAAAATTCGATTTTTTTTTAGAATAGAAAGTACTTACAAGTATTATTTCGAATCTTGCTATTTCAAATATAAGCGTTTTAATTTCGATTACTTTGCAAATAAAATTTACAAAATATTATTCGAGTCCTAGAAAATAAAACTTCATTATTCAACTCGGACTTTTAAGTGTATATATTAAATTTAATCCCATCCCTGTTCGCGAGCTTCAATTTTAAAACGCACCTTATCCATTTTAGTAGCAAAACCTGAGATGTTTTGAGATTTGAGAAAATTAAAAAAATGTCATAGAGTTTTCTCCTGCACAAAAATGATGACAGAAATCAAATATCCCCTGGAATCGAGCGTCGCATATAAACGTAATGTTAGAACGACATATAGGACGATAGTAACGACGCGAGAATGGACAAGAATTCAATTGGAGCGCGTGTGCGACGATACTAAAATTTAATTTCGCCGTTTATAACAATCCGAGAATGCGCGCGCACGCGGATATATATAAAGTTTATTCGCGAAACGACGCGACGCGATGGGGGAGAGAATAAAGTCGGCGACCGCGCGTTTCCCGTTTTGTCGATAGAGGCCGAGTGTTGCGACCCCGCGGGTGCTCAATCACGAAATCGTAAACGTCGAGCGATCCGCGTGATCGATCGATCGTCGCCTTCCACCGCTCGCAATTATTATCGCACGTCGACGAATGACCCGAATAAATTATATCCCATTCTGCATTTCTCCTGCCCTGCTCGTGATAAATTTCGCGGCTAATCACTGCGTGACATATATCTATTATTCCTCTACTCGCTGAATATATCCATAGGATATATTTCAATAATAAGAGACTGTATGTATACATTTGACATTTGACGCGAGAGAGAGAGAGAGAGAGAGAGAGAGAGAGAGAGAGAGAAAGAGAGAGAATCTAATGCAAATAATTAAAAAAAGCTGATAAGAATATTTTTCGATAATAAGGATAATAATAAGAAGGATAAGGATATATTTCAATAATAAGAGACTGTATGTATACATTTGACATTTGACCGCGAGAGAGAGAGAGAATCTAATGCAATAATTAAAAAAAGCTGATAAGAATATTTTTTCCAGGTTCTCTCAATTTGATTGATCATTTTTATAGGATTTTTTATCAGAAGATGTTTACACAATCCATAGTTTTCGAGATATAGATTTTAAAAAATTCCAATATAATAGCCAATACTCCCCATTCCGACAAAATTCTGATCCAAAGTCATTTCTAATTAAATCAAAATTAGATTTGTGATATTAAAAAATTTCATGAAAAATCTCTAAAATAACCTGTTTTTTTATAAAAATAAAAATTTTGAAACATCGATATCTCGAAAACTCTGAATCATATATTTTGCAACATTTTTTCTCGATAAAAAATCTATTAAGCACATCAATCAAATTGAGGGTCTAGGAAATAACTAATTCTTGCCGAGAAGCACAATCGTGACTGGAGAAAAGAAATCGAACGGAGAAGAATTATTCGTCGAAAAATCAATGTTCTCTAAAAGGTTCTCGCGCGCGTACAGTTTCCATTCGTTGTACCGGATAATATTTATTCGTGCCGCGGTCGTAAATCAAAGCGCCTAATTTTTATTTCGCGCGATCGCGAGTCGAACGGCCGTAAATATCTTCCGTAACGGCAAATACGGCGGATTTATCACTGTAATTTCGCGTAAACACGACAGTCGGCGCCTATTAATTATATCCAGTCGCGTGTTTGATCAAACGATGCACGCGCGACTATTCGCTGATCGGCAAACAAGCGAAAAGATTTACTATACGGATTATCGTCACCGTCATGTATTTGCCCTGTGATCCGGCATTTGAGAAAACCGTCGTTATATACTGCTTCAGAATAGGGATGGGATCAAGTTTATATGTAACAGAAAAATCCAAGTCGAATCTAATAATTAAGTGTCATTTTCTAGGATTTCAATAATGCTTTTAAAAATAATATTAATAATACATATAAATCATATATAATAATACTTATAAATACTTATAAGTAATATATAATAATAAAATATAAATATTTAATAATAATATAATAATAATAAATAATAATATATTTCCCTTGTAAAAAATCGAATCTTTACAAATAAGCTCAAGCTCTAAAAAAAAATCTATGATACTTGTCCACCCTATCCTTACTATTATAAATACCCACTCATGAAAAATTCGAATGAACTTACTTGGGTTCGAAAGGACTTGGAAGAATTCTCTTATTTTCAAGGTATTTATAAAGAGTTCGAACCTATCCCGTCTTCGAATCTACTTGAAAGTATTGTTTTTTTTAAGCAATCATAGAGATTTCGAAACTATGCAGATAAATTCGAATCTACTTGTAGATACTTAATCCCATCGCTAGTTCAGAATAGCCAAGCCCATTATCTCGAAAAGAGAGAGAATAAATCGAGCTTAATAAATTCCGCTCTGTCGTCTGTTTGTGCCAATAAATGGAGGATACTGTAGATTCAACTTAGCGAAACAACAATATAGTTCGCGAGTGTGGTCTCTGGTATTATTTCCCGCAGAGGCAATGCATCGTAAAATTTGTGTAACCTTATGCGAAACGTAAAATAAAACGTTTTATGGAAAAGCTTATATAATATTCAGCAGCTTTATAAAAGCGAAAGAGAGAGAGTCTCCTCTGACTTTCGATATTATATTAGTCCTTAATAACAAAATTTGCTCGAATACAAATTGCTCAAGGAAAATAACGCGATGGAACTTTTCTACCGAGAGCCAGAAACCTTTTTGCCACCCTGGACTCGAAAGTTTACACCGGGTAGAAAAACAGCCATTAAAGTCAGCGCGAAAGAAATTAAAGATACTTTTGCATTGGGGAGTCATCGCGCGTTCCCACGCGAGCTTTTGCGCGACTAAAAGAGTCCCGAGTTAACTTAACTCGCACGAATGTAAACCGCATTATACCGCGGCCGAAGGGATCCAAAGAGAGATCCTCTAGTCTAACTGCGAAAGTGCATTTCGAGCAACAATGCAATTTTCGATTACTTAATATTCCGCGAATGAAATTTTGTGTAAAGCAAAACACGCGTCTGCTACTTTCGAATAGGTCGACATAACAGATGCAGATTGAGGTTAGGTTCCCAGCAAACACAGTATATAAATGTTATATACTTAAGCATGTTACATGTAACGTATATGTTAGTTGTAATTTCCCACTCATAGATGTAACATTTTTAATATTACATATATTACATTGTAGTTATATTGTCATTATATCCCAAGATAGCACTGACTTATCAATACATCAATGTGCTATTTGGTATATAATTACAATATAACTACAATGTAGTATATGTTATATTAAAATGTTACATCTATGAGTGGGAAATTACAACTAACATGAATGTTACATGTAACGTACACGTTATATTACCTGTTACATTCCGTTTTATTATAGCAATGTAACAATTATATATCGGTGTTTGCTGGGATAGATCAGTAGTCCCAGCAAACACAGTATATAAATATCATATACTCAAGCATGTTACATGTAACGTATATGTTAGTTGTAATTTCCCACACTCATAGATGTAACATTTTTAATATTACATATATTACATTGTAGTTATATTGTCATTATATCCCAAGATAGCACTGACTATCAATACATCAATGTGCTATTTGGTATATAATTACAATATAACTACAATGTAATATATGTTATATTAAAATGTTACATCTATGAGTGGGAAATTACAACTAACATGGATGTTACCTGTAACGTATACGTTATATTACCTGTTATATTCCGTTTTATTATAGCAATGTAACAATTATATATCGGTGTTTGCTGGATTAGATTCTTCAAGTCTTAGGTGGGGTTCTTCAAGTCTTTTATTTTTTGGACACTGAATCTGGTCGTATTTGTGAGTTTTTGAGTATTGGATTTTAAGTTTATAGGTTTAGGGTTTACGGTTTTAGAATCTATATATGGATATTTGGATTTATGGGTTTATGAGTTTATGGTTTATAGCTGTATTGGTTTTTTGTTTTTTTGGTTATATATAGATTCATGGCTTTTAGATTAATATGTTTAAATAAACATGTTCTATCTCAATTTTTATATTGCGTAAAAAATATAGACCAAGTATTATATTGCTTGTATTCATAAGCGCTTGCAAATCTCGTATTTTAAAAGTTATATATCTCGGTCCAAAAATATCGGGAACAATGGAAAATGAATTTTGCAATTCAGAATATACTAACACTATATGAAAACATAGGAAGAAACATCATAGAAAAATCGGTATTCCCACAATAAATATATATAAATATTGTCTAAAACGCCATTTTTGGTCCTATTAACCTCATTTATCTCGTAAACCTGAAGTGATAGAGCAATTCATATTTAGCATCCAAAAATCTATGAGAAATGACTTGAGAAACCTGATCCGCATCTATCACGTCGACCAGTGATAATATGATAATCTACAAAAACAGTTTTCGTATGTTCAAATATGCTGTAGGCAAACGAAAAATGTGTGTGTGTATCTGTGTAAAAACGAGCCGAAGATTAATGACAAAGCAAATTACGTTGCGCCAGTTTTCAGTTTGCTATGTCATTTTGAACGGTCCACTGAACGATGCAAGCAGTCCCGGGTTCTCGCAGTGGGGCGAAAAAAAAAGAGAGCGAAACGGATTCACTTCCACTTCCGGCGCCACAGAAACCAGGCGAAATCCTCGGCATATATCTATGACATGCGTTACAAATGGATACAACCACAAAAGTGCAGCAGCTTCATTATTCAGCTTTCGCGAAAATATACAGCGGAATCTACATAATTAAAATTAACTTTGTCTCTGCTTTTCTGTTTGTTAACCATGTCGCGCAAAAATGGCCGGATTTTTAACAA